CAAAATACTGGCCCTCCCATCTCCTTAAACTTCACCCTAACATTGCTATTCTTTTAGAAAGTAGAGTTAAGCATGAGAAAGCTAATAAAGTGAGGGACCAACTCAAGCTCAGGGGTAGGTACCTTGACAATTATCATGAGCACTCTAATGGTCAGATCTGGATTTATTGGGATGATACTGGTATTGATATTAGATTGGTGAGAAGCACATCTCAGATGATACATTATGGGATTTTCGATACCAATGGTGGCTTTATAGCTTGGATGTCAGCCATATATGCCTTAAATCAGCTTGACCAAAGGAAGAACTTATGGAAAGATTTGGAGATTGTGCATAATAGCTAACAAGGGCCTTGGTTTTTCTTAGGGGACTTCAATAATGTGGTTAAGTCCATGGATATGATTGGTGGTAATTTAGTGATTGGAAATGAGTATGTAGATCTTAAAGAATTGATGGACAATGCAGGTTTGTATGAAAAAGATAACACAGGAGATTACTATACCTGGACTGACAAACATACAGTGGGAACTATATATTCTAGAATTACCATGTTTTTGGAAACATTGACTGGCTGCAAAATAACAAGGACTTAAAGTTGGAGATCCTCCCTTTTAGCATCTCTGGTCACAATTTACTTTGCTTGAGTAGTCAAAAGAACAGGGAGATAAAGCACACTAATTTCAAGTTTACTAATAGTGTGGTCCAGGTTAATGGTTATCATGATGCTTGTCATTAATTGTTAGACAAAACCTATGAAAGGTAGACCTATGGCCTCTCTGTGGTACAAGTTGATGAGGCTACATGCCCCTTTGATCAAGTTGAGTAAGCCATTTTCCAGTATTGACAGGTCCATTGTTCAAGCCAGGCATGAGCTTCTATAGGCCCAAGAAGAGCTTATCCTTGATAGAATGAATATTAGGAATATTGATAAAGTGAAAAAGTGTACCGAGGCTATTATACTGGTAGGAGTTGAATGATCAGATTCTGAGACAAAAGTCTAAAATCAAGTGGCTGAAACAAGGTGATAGTAACTCTGCCTACATCTATTTATCCCTTAAATCCAAATATGTTGCCAACAATATAAGTATGTTGAATAAGGAGGATGGCACTCTCATTCAGAATCTAAAGGATATTGCTCATGAAGTTTGAGATTACTATAGAAGCCTCATGGGAACAAGAGAGAATAGCTTAAAGATGATAGATAACAATGCTATGAGAGAGGGACCCCAGTTGTCAATGAGCCAGTAAGCCAGTCTTATAGCTCCCATTATTGTGTGCAAAATCAAAGATGAGATTAAAGGTATTGGTGTACTAAAAAGTCATGGGTTAGATGGCTATGGAGCCAAAATTTTCAAGTGCAGTTGGGATGTTATTGAGCATGATGTGATTGAGGCTATCAATGAATTTTTTTAGCATAATATCTTGCAGAAACTCTCTATGAGATTTGGCGTGATCGGAATGATATTTGTTTTTGTCGTAGTAAGGATAATGAGAACATTGTTGAGTACATAATTAATTTGATTGTTTATATCCTTGCGATCGCCTTGGTTTTTCTGTGTTTTTTTGAATTAATACCATTTTTTATTCAAAAAAGAATAATTGGGAATTTAAGTAATTTAATTAGTTGATAGAAAAAAGGAAAAAGAGAGGAAAGATTTTAACTTTTCTATTTTAATGAGTTTTGATTTAGTTTTAATTTGAGATTTTGTTGGAAATTAAAGAGTGCTTTACGTATAAATAGAGAGAGAATGTTAGGATTTTCTTTGTCCTATTTTTTTCAAATAAATATTTTAATTGAGACAATTTTTTATTTTATTTGTTAATTAAATATATATTAGTAGTGTGTTTTAAATCTATCTATTATCTATTATCTCTACATTGAAATTAATTTATTTTGAGGTAACTATAAGAGAGAAGCACCAATAGCATGAATTCTTCTACACAATGCGAAAAACATTTTCACTCGAGGACCTAAAATTTATGTGTTATTAATTAATATGTTCATTTTAAGTTAGTATTGTCTTTTGTATTATGTATTTTGTATTGTTAAATATTTTTTCCTTTTTTCTATTTGTTTAATATATTTTTTGAAATATTATTTTTGGTTAAAATTTTGAACAATTTTATTTTTTGGAAAAAATAAAAAATATATATTTAGAACAAAATTTACTCTTTTTTTGGAAAACAATTTTTCTTGAATTTTTTTTTAAATTTGTTCTATATCTATTATGGAAGACTAAATAGAACAATTTTGATTGATCATGAATCAATTGTGTATACTTTATTTCTGAGAAAATACACATTACATGTATATCTAATAAAAATATGAAACATATAGGAAACATTTTATAAATAATGTCCATAAAATTTACTTTAGTAATTATAATTAATCTCTTTTATATTTACAGGGTAGGATTATAAAATAAATTTATGTCATAAAATGATTTTTTATAACTTATACATACCTTTTAATCAAATTTATTGCAAAAATGGTTTTTTAAAAAGATATTTTATAATGTCAAGTAATTCTATTTTGAGACATGGTCGAAGTATTTTTTTTAAAAATAAACTAACATGTGCCGCAACGCATAAGTTAATAAATTTGGAATGCGTGCACAAGACTTTATTATATTTAATTATACTTAGATTTTTCTAATTATAGTATCATTAACATGTGCTTTTAGGACACATGTTAGCATGACCCTTTTTTTAAAACATAGAATTAATATTCAAATATTAGTTTAATGATATAAAATTTTGTTGTTAAAATAAAAATTGATAAATATCTTCACACAAATATTTAAAAAGTTAAATTATTCTTAAAATTTTTAATATATTTTATTTTAAAGACTAACTTAAATATATATTAATAAATTTATACTTATCTAAATATGAGTTTAAATTTTTTTTATTTTTACAACATATTTAATCAATTCTATTTGTTTATTATCACTAAAAATACTAATTAAGGAGAAAATACTAAGTTACAAATATTTTGTTAACGAGAATATATTACAAATATTTTTATAAACAGGAAAAGTCTATGTTGATACAATTGATTTTGTAAACGAAAACAAATTTTAAATATTTTAATTAACGTAAAAAAATATATGGTTGATACAATTGATTTTATAAACGGAAATAAGTTATAAATATTTTTTATAAATTGAAAATAATTTGTTGTTGATACAATTATATTTATAAATAAGAATAAGTTACAAATATTTTTATAAATGGAAAAAAAAGTAGATTGGTGATACAATTGATTTTATAAATGGGAATAAGTTACAAATTTTTTTTTTAAACCGGATAAAGTCTAACGTTGATACAATTGATTTTGTAAACGAAAACTAGTTTCAAATATTTTAATCAACGTAAAAAAAGTATATTGTTGATACAATTGATTTTATAAACGGGAATAAGTTATACATATTTTTTATAAACTGGAAATAATATATTGTTGATACAATTATATTTATAAACATGAATAAGTTACAAATATTTTTATAAACGGAAAAAAAAATAAACTAGTGATACAATTGATTTTATAAACAGGAATAAGTTACAAATATTTTTTTTAAACGGAAGAAGTCTGCTATTAATACAATTGAATTTATAAATGGGAATAAGTTACAAATATTTTTATAAATGAAAAAAAATTGGCAATTTTGGTCTCGTATGTTAACGTCAACGTTCATATTGTTCATTTAACTCTTTAAAATGCTTCATTTTAGTTTTTTTGTCTAATTAGCGATGGAAAAACTCAGAAATGGGTCACTAAATTATTCGCTAATTAGACAAAAGACCGAAATAAACCTTGACATTAACATACGGGACCAAAAAGGATATTTTGCCAAAAAAAAAAGTCTATTGTTGATACAATTATTTTTAAAAACAATATAAATATTTTTATAAACGGAAAAACGTCTACGATTGATACAATTATTTTTTTAAATGGGAATAAGTTACAAATATTTTTATAAACCGAATAAAGTCTAATGTTGATACAATTGATTTTTTAAACGGAAATATGTTATAAATATTTTTTTTTTAAACGGGAGAATTCTACTGTTAATACAATTAATTTTATAAATGAGAAAAAGTATATTATTGATACAATTATTTTTAAAAACAAGAATAAGTTACAAATATTTTTATAAACGGAAAAATTCTACGATTGTTACAATTATTTTTTAAACGAAAATAAGTTACAAATATTTTTATTAACAAAAAAAAAAAGAGTATTATTGATATAATTATTTTTATAAACGAGATAAATTGTAAATATTTTTGTAAATGCACACACGGGTTCTAAGCGCTTATATTGTATCAAATAAGTATATTATTTATATAAATATTTAAAAATACTACTTGGATCAATCTATAAAGATTGGTACATATTGTTAGTTTATATTTGAGATTATGTGAATGTTTATAATCGGTAAAACAAATTTATAAGCTAACAAATGAGATATCACAGCATGTAATACGAATCTAGACGGAATCCATGTGATAAATTGAAGTTAGAGAATCAGCTATACGGTTTATTGTAAGTATGAATCAATGCTTAAAAGTTAGTACATATTATTAGTATATATTTATAACTATGTGAATATCAATCTATTGGAGAATGAATTCATATTTTATAAATGATGGTATAATAGACGTGTAATATAAATCCATATAGAACTTATGCGATATCATGAATTTCTTACTAGTTTTTATATAAACAAAATAGGTAAGGATTAATATAAAAGAAGAAAAAATAAAAAATATTTACATTAATCAAAATCAAGAAATAATTTTTTTCACAGAAACTAAAATAAATAAATAAAAACAAAATATTCAACTTTTTATATCCAACTGTATATTAAAATTAAACTCATATTTAAGACATGAAATATTTTGTTCTTAATGTATTGAATTTATCTTTTAGTTCTAAAGTTGATATTCATATGTTGAATAAATCTAATAAAGTCCACAATAATTTGAATAAGTTTCTACGATCTTCCTGTTAAAGCTTTAAAACGAGCAATGAAATCATCATAATCAGGTCCACGCCATGCACCACTCGACACTTGTGCATTCTCTTTTGACGATGATGTTGTGTCCACAGAAGCTGTCGGTTTCATTTCACTAGAATCAACATTTTTCTCAAGTACTTCAGAATCTATTATTTTGTTGGAATTGTTGTTAGTATTTTGTTTGAGCTGGTAAGGGGGTGGAATTAGCAAAAAGGATCTTGGTTTCTTGATTTCTTCTTCTACTTTTTGTTCTTGTTCATCATTGTCTTCAGAAAAGCTTCCAAACGAGCTTGAACTAGATTTTCTTCCATGATGATGAGGTGATGATGTGTCTGTGCTTGTTGTTTCATCATCACTACTATATTGGTGTCTTGCCTCATTCTCTTTTGATGTATCGAAACCATCACTTTCATATTTGTATCCATCAGATTTCTCCTAATAAAAAATATACAATCTCGTTAAATCAGTTCAGTTGATAGTTATGTAAAAATATTCGACTAGTACAGGTTGATCTGATAGAAAAATAGAAAATTAGTTACAATGTGTAATCTACTTACATCATATAATGATGGATGTTTATGAAGTATTTTTTTGAGACCCTTTGCATTCCACTTTATAGAAAACTCTTTAGCTATATCATATAATAACCTTATCTTCATTTCTTTTGCAGGAGGGTCTCTTCTCAACTTGTCAACAAACTAAGGAACAAAATTATTTAAACAAGCCTTAAAAAACAATAGTTATATATTTTCTCAAAAAAAATATTACCTCTTTATTTATGTATGGTTCAAGAGAATTTTTATATTTTTCTGTAAACACAGTTCTAAGATCACGCAATTCTGGTAAATCAGAAATTCTTGCTGCAGCATATATCAATGACGGTATAGCTTCCTTGCATTCCTCAGGACAATCACTATATAACAAGATCAATATGATTAATAATTAAGATTTTTTTCATGTTTGAGAATTGAGACACATTTAACTGCATGCATGCATGTATAGAAAAAATACACCTCTGCTTAATTAAATCTTCAAGATGATCCGATATGCATCCAATAAAGTTCTCAATAAAGTCATAGCATGATAACATTTTTTCTTCAAACAGAAGCCATTCAGTCTGTTTCAAATTCAAAAACAAACATAGTATCGAGAATTGAGATTGTTTTGACATTGGTATATGCACATGTTGATGTCCAATACGGACGTATCTATGTGTTAGTGTCGTGTCTAAAAAAGTGTGAAGAAAAATATTACCCTTTTATATGCTTCATAATCACGTCCTCGTCTAAGAAGTTCTGCAGTATCATCCTTCGTAAACTTATAAACATATTTTCTCTTTTTTTGTATTGTCTCTAACCGCGTCTTTATACACTTTATGTAATATATACTAATATTTTTCCAAAGTTAAACAAAAGACATGAATTAGAAAAATTTCAAGTAACAATTTTTAATAAAAAAGCAAACAATTAAAGAATTGAAAATCACAACTTATGCTTAGTGTTGTAATATTGTACCATTTTGAATGGAGTTTAGGCTTCAATAGCCACCTTAATATTTGTATCATACTATGAGGAAATCTTGTTGCCTAAGAAGGAAAATGGTTTTTTTATTGTTGGATATTTTAGAGGCTATGTTGTGGTTAAGGTAAATATAAATGTGTGTGTATTTTTAGAATGATTGAACATAAAGTTAAGGTAAGAATAGTATTGATGAAACCTCAAAGAAAAGAAATGAAGCTCTCATGAAGACAAAAACTCAAAACTCCATTAAGAGTAGTTCCTTGATTATCATGGAAGAAAACAATAGAGGTTAGAGGCAAAAAGGAAGATAATTTAGGAAAGTGTAGAAAAAGAGTCAATATAGTTGTTTTTGTCTACAACAGAACTACAGCTGTGAACTGGCCTCCAAGTTTCATGACCCTTGACTTGCTCTTTTTTTAATGTTTACTTATCACTTTGCTTAGTTACCAAGTATACTCTGGCTGCTACATATATGGCCATGACACCATGGCCTTAACTAATGCAAAGTTCAAAAGCCTCTAAACCTTTGGGCATGATTAAGTTACATTGTCCTAAGGCAGCGTGACTCAACTCTAAAAAAGAAATTTGGGTTTCATTTTTAATGTTATTTTCAATAGCAAATTATATAATAAATATAAAGATGGAATTATAAGGGGAGTACAGTGGATGGACTGACATTTGATGGAGAGTTCGGGGAGATCGTTGAAATATAAGTATGAGTTGAAAGTCTCACATTACTTGAAAAAGTTGAGGTTGGACACTTTATAAGTGACATGACTCATATACTCAATGTCTTAAGATTTTGGGTGAATATGTGGTGTCTCTCTCACTTGTGGTTGTTTCCCTCATGATCCATCAACAGTATTAGAGACGACGGTTCAAGTAAGGGATCAACTCCTTATATTGAAAGTCTCCATGACAAGGTGGTCGACAAGTGAAGTCACTAGGAGCACTACGCCAAAAACTGCTTTTTGCAGCGCCTCTACTAAAGCGCTTATTGAAAAAGCGCTGCCATAGCCTTCACAAAAAACAAAATTAAAAAAAAGGGAAACCTACGAAGGCGCTTTTTTAAAAGCGCTGGCATAGGTGGGGGATACGAAAGCGCTTTTTACATTAAAAGCGTTGTGGTAGGTCAAATAAAAATATTAATAAAAACGAAATAATAGGGTTATGAAGGCGCTTTTTAAAAAGCGCTGTGGAAGATTGGCCTTTGAAAGCGCTTTCAAAAGCGCTGGCATAGGGTCTGATGCTACTAAAGCGCTTTTTAGGCTAAAAGCGCCGTGGTAGCTCAAATATCAAAATTAAATAAAATGAAATATTGAACAGCACAGTTCAGAATACCCACGAAACCCAAAACGAAATATCAGAACGAAACCCTGTTCATCGTCTTCTCCATCTCACCCTCGCCGGCACGAAGCTTTTCAGCACCGTTCATCATCTCACCCTCGCCGGCACGAACCTTATCAGCACCGTTCATCAACTCACCCTCGCCGGCACGAAGCTATTCTCGTTTTTGTTCTGATTCCTCATCCTCGCCGGTACGAAGCTTTGGTGATTTGGAAGAAGGGCAATGATCAAGTGTATAAGTCATCATCATTTTCTTCATCTCTCAAACACCCAACTCAAAATATTCTCTTCAAGGTAAGTTCTTAGTTAGAACTTGGGGTTAGAAGCTTAGGGTTGTATGTTCATGTGTGGTCTTGTGCTAATGCCTGAAATTCATGACAATGGTATGATTATTGAGTATGCATGTACCGATTTTATGTTTTTTTGTTCCCCAAGCATGTTAGTATAGGTTAGGGATGGATGGGTGGTGGATTGGGGTGATAAATGTGATTTTAGAACACTAACTTTCATGAAAAGTTATAGTCATTCTCGCCTAGTGAAATTTTGCTTGCTTAGCGAGAGCTGTTGATACGAACAAAATTGTATTGCCACTGAAATCAATGTATTTTTAGTTCCGTAACTCCAAATGAGATGCACTCGAATGTGTTAGAAAGCTAGTCCAATTCTCTATGTTATGATGATTAAATATCATGCTTATATGACAGTTTGTGATATGTGATAAGTTTATGTTTGGTTGCTAAGTTTGAATTTCTCTGTTGATATGTAAATGAGATCCTATCCATTGTAATAATTTCATTCATTGAGATTAGAATAATGCCATGATGGTATGACCTTGGTGTATATATGATTATTTCCTTCCTTGACATGTTTAATGTATTCATGATTGTGACTTCTGTGTTATGAATCCTGAAAGTTCTAGTATACTCGCTTAGTGAGAAAATATTATGCCCAATAAGATCTCACTTAGAGATAGTTGTTTTTCGCTAAATGAAGGACCTATTTTGGGAAAAGTTTTAGTTCTATAAGGTCTATCCGGAATAACAACGCAGTTGAGATGCTGAGAGACGGGGCATTTTGTATCTTCACACTGTAAACAATGTCATAGTTAGCAAATATAAGCTGTCAGTAGAGTTCTTAACTAAAATCACATGACATCAAGGAAAACAATGGAAATGATCAATGAAATCATATACAAATGTAAAGAAGCATATACTTTGATGTATCATGAGGATAGAAGAAATATATTGAATATTACACCTTGATCAGTAGATCTGTTTCCATTGAACTCCCACAGAGACAGCGAACCTTCATATCTGCTAGAAAGGAATCATCAACTTCACCTTTAATTCTCGCATTAGTTCTGTCTGAAGCACCCTGCCCCTTTGATGCTAGATCAGTGGCTCCAGATGCCTGTAGTTTTCTGGGGGAAGAGTAAACACAAAATATCATGAAAAAAAAAACTATGAAATGAGGGCATTATGGCATGTATACACCAGTACAGTCAACTTAAAGCAACCCTAAAAACAGAACACCGTATCATGTGTTAACTGAGTTTATCTATATAACCTCAGCCATTACATTAATCTGAAGTATAACAAAACTAGATGAAGAAAATATCATCAACATGTTGTCTCTAACACTGACCTATATGTGTCATCCACTAACTTCATCACTTCTGCTTTTCCAAGAACATTCTTCTTCTTAGCACATATTTTGAAAACTGAAAAATAAACAAGTTGCTTAGTTTACAAGAGAAAGCGGAGGAACATAAGAAACACAACTTCACATATTAAAATCACAAAACTGAACTAGAAGCATAAAAGTTAAATATTCCAAAGTTTTCATATTCGATAAACCATGTCATAGTATAAGTTACCACTACTCCTAAAGCAGTGTTTGAATAGAAAGTTAAAATTAGCCGATCCAACTAGTCCAAGCCTCAAATAAGATTGGAAATGCAACTCAAACAGTATAAACATGTTTGACTCAGACATTTTGGAGCCAGCCAGCTTTCTCATTTGAAGATATTCAAAGACAAATAAAACATTGTATAAAAACTTCTGTATAAAATATAAGCTTCCATTTTTTCACAGAAATCAAATAGACAAAAAGTTATAAAATCTAACATAGAATAAGTGAGTACTAAAGGTTGAGCCATCTGTGTGTCTATAGTATATGATAAGAGATCATACCTTGTTCATCTGTGAGAATAGATAATATCCTATCAACAAGATCCTACATAAAATGGAGAATTGACATCACTACATTGCACGAAAACTCCAGAGAATAGATAGCATAGCATGATGTGCAGTTAAGCAATTAAAGATAATAATGTATCGGCTATACTCCAGAGTTACAACAGTCGCGTGAATGTCCATTCCTCGGATTGACAATATCAATACTCTCTTAAGAGTTTGATTATTAAACATGTGTTCTTGATTGCATGTAACCAAGTGGGGTCAATGGTATAAATAAATTATGTAAGTATTTAGCAAGTAATAAGTCAACAAACACCATTCAATCACACTTAAATTTAAAAACCACTCTTAAGTTTCAAAGACAACGTCTCAATATTGAAGATGTATGATCAGTAATATTGATTATCTCACCTGCTTCTTTCCTTGCTTTGAAAGTCCTACCTCAGTAAGCACATCTTTGAGATCTTTTACACGAAGCGAGCCGACTTGTTTAGAATTGTAGGGGTAGTGATCTTAACGTAGTTTGAGATCTATAACTCGAGGCGAGATGTTGTTGGATATGTTAGAGAGCTATTGAGAAGGTATATCCTATAGTAAAGCAAGAATGTGCAAGTGTGAATGTTTCTACTTTAAATTGAGAAGGTATATCAGTTATTGTAATTTAAATTTGTGTGTGACTCCTTTGTGGGAGATTGATTTTAAGTGTTATTGTGGTAGGAAAAAGCTGTGAAACTTTCTCCGATTGAAGAAATTCGAACTGTCCTTGATCGTAGTGTACGCGGGACGCTCTCAACATTTTCAAAGGTTTCTATCCTATTCTTGAACTGACTTGAATAACTGATTGTTTTTACTTTTATTTTCCGGCTCAGTGTGAATTTCTAATGATTATAGTTGAGTGGAATTCATGAGCTGCGGTTGTGTTTTTGTTTATATTTAGACTGTTATGGCAGTATAGGGCTGTATATGGCAGTATGGCAGTATTGATAGCATTGAAACGAGCACGTTTCAGGGATTCATCAAACATCAATGAAAATCTTAAACACAATGAACCATGCAACACATTAGTTAGCGTGTAGATGTTAGAATTTATGACTATAGGACTATACCAAAAATATCTGACGGGATTTTTCCGTTGCTAAATCTTCCGGTTGCTTCTCCTCCGATGAAATCTTTACCGTAAGGTTTGAAATCCGACTTCACTATTGTTTGAATATAATTGTTATTACCTGTATCCAAGACTGAATCACTAGTATCCGACTTCACTAGTTAGTAATTAGTTATGAGTTGTTTAGCACATGCTTAAGGTGAGGCAAGAATAACTATGAATTTGATTACCTGATATGTTGAATTTCTTTACAGGTAATTAATTATTATTTTGCTATAGTTGCGTGACTAATTAGTTGCTATAGTCAAACCATGGATAAAAAATGGATGACTGCCAATCGATTGTCGAAAGAGTATGAGGATGGGGTATCAGAATTCGTTAAGTTTGCCGTTGC